CATTGTGTGGCCGACTGTGTCGGGTCAGCGGTATTTTCATTCACATCCTGTTCACCGAGTGTTACCTTCTGTGGCAATAGAGTGTTCGGATCCGTTATCGTAAAGCTTACGGGTATTAAACATATGGACCGTCCGTTCGCCGCATCCATACTCTCAAAAGACATATAGTTTACGATTGAGTTAATGAATGTGGACTTTCCCACACCTGTCTGTCCCAACAATACGATTGTGATCTCCTTTTTCTGTAAATTAAATGCTCTTGATTAAATAATATTTTAGTTGTATCATTTTAATCACCTTATTTGAATGAGGTTTCCCTGTAGGTAAATCATTGATGCCTTCTATGATAATCTCTATATCCTTAATAACGTTTGTTGCACTGCTAGAATGACCAATGTTCATTTTATTTTGATCATCACTGGTTAAGAGCCTACAATAAATGCTTATAAATTAAAATATCTTTACAAAATTCATTTATAAACAATGTGGTTAATAGAATCAATATTAAAAGTATTATTATTAGTTTTTGTAGTTATCTATTTATCTGTATTATTATCTGTATTTTATAAGTTTCATAGCACTGAATAGTTTTTTTTGTGCAAAATATAAATGTTAAAATACAGTAGTTAAACATTGATTTACATTAAATATGCATGTTTAAGTTTTTATTTATACAAATTGTTCTAATTTAAACCTTGTAAAAAAATTAATTGAAAGTATTCAAAATTTTTAGTAATGATTAATAAATCTCATTTAATAAACCGCGTATAACAAAAAAGTAGGTTATTCAAAAATTTTATATTTATAATAGTATTACACAATATTATAATTGAACAAACGCATACCTTGATTTAATTGTTGGTGTTTTATTTTCCTCCATTATGTCAGTGTATTTTTATTAAACAATTATTATTTTAAAAATTATTTAATTAAATTTTTATTCATAAAAATATGTTAAGTTTGTGTTAAACTTGTTTTAAATATAGTTTATTACTATATAAAACACTAGTATAAAACATGTATTTTAATGTATTATTTTAATGATAGTATTTTTTGCATTTAATAAATAGTATTATATTCCAGACAATTGTATAATTATTTATCTATACATGTCTTGTATATTGATAATATTATGTTTTATTGCAGGCCTTGTAATTATAACTAGAGTATAAATTTTTTGGGTATAAACAAATTAAAATTATAAATTATAGATAAAGTTTGTTAATTACTGATAAATTTTAAAACTAAAATATAAATTATTTCAAGTAAAATTGGCCCTGGTAATTACCATATTTACCACTCAATTATGATTCATAATTTATGAACTTGAAATATATTAATTTAATTTTGCCAACTTTTTATCAATTGACTGCTATATTATATAAAGAGGCGGTCAAGTGATTCGGCACCTCGTAGTTTTCTCATATCTTTTGATCTGTTAGAGATATTTAGATTCTGTAAAGTGCATCTAATAGAGAATTATCGGGGAATTTTTTTGTATATTTTAAAATTTTATTTTGGTCACGTGGTATACTCAAAATGGGACAATATTGAATGGTCATATTACAGGTCAAAATATATTAGATATGGAGATGGTCCCAATACAAAATGTGTAAAGCAATAATAGGTGAGTAGAATAA